TATAACGGAACTTGCAAGATTAGGATCTCAGAAATGCCACTACGCAGTTCCCTCTTTTGTTGGTGTGTGTGTGTGTGTGTGTGTGTGTGTGTGTGGTACAGGACGTATCTTAGGACAGCTGATGAATCCAGGAAGTGGCCTAACCCACCACCAATCCGTCAGATTCTATAAGCAAAATATCATGGGTCAGGATACGAGAGAAAAATGTAATTTTTCAAGTAAAACTGATATTTTTATACTTATCCTGACTCATGAGGTCAAGCCCTCCCAACCTCCCCGCTGGAAACACTTTGGATTGCACAGCAGATCCAAGTACTTGGGCAGAAAAATCAGGAGAGAGTGGCAAGTAAGGCTGGTCACATGACTGTTTACGCAGGAAAAGGGAGGTAACTCGTGGGTGAGTGTATTTTTACGTCCGCTTCGGGAACTTAAAGGAATTCAAGTGTTCCACTACCATTCGCAATGAAAAGGGAGATAAGCAAAAGATCATGAGTCAGGATAAGTATAAAAATATCAATTTTACTTGAAAAATTACATTGTTGTTGGGTATCACGTGTCAGATGGTTCTGTATGTTTCGCCTCAGTGAGTCAGGACATGCCAACAGATGGGCTGGCTTGAGGTGTGATGTGCAGTCAGACAATAGATCGTAATGTCACACATGGAACTAGGGGTAACCTGTCCGCTCACGATGACAAATTAGTTCAATTTTACAAGCTTCACGTTTATGTACACCTGACCCATGTCTTGAGTACATGTGCATTCTGCTTGTAAAATGTCTTACACCTTATTACTTATACAAGGACCACAGTGTATTGTATCTGTATTCTATCATCGAAGGAAATGACTAGAGACTCATTCAAAACATATTGTTTCAGAAGTCTTCCATGTACTACAGTATTTAATACTACAATTCATTCATAGAATGAGCTGCCACAGGATATATGCTCCTTTCATATATATTCATCATTGTTTTTTAAAGCTGGCTGAAATGATTGATAATCAGAAATGTCAGCGACTAGAAAAATCCTTTAAAGATTATTCATATGAAAATTGTGTCATTGATAATAGCATACATGAAGTTTTGTGATAGAATAAAGTTGAATTTACTGGCACTCAAACAATACTCAAAGTTGGGTTTTTATCATCGGCTGCATCTAAATTATGTTAGTAACCATGGTAACCCGTGCATTAACATGTCACCACTCACCAGTGGTGTCAAATATATTAATTTCTTTGAGACATTTTTGGGCAGTTTTTCTCTAAGTTACTGCTTTGATATTTATCGATAAACGATTGATATTTAGTTATCAATCTCAATAATCTGTATCAATAGCCAGCCTTGTTTTTACTACACATAATACAGTAGCATTACAGCATCTGTTCAGTGAACTGCCACCATCGTAAACAGGGGTAAATAATGGGGTTTTTTGTAAAGTATTTTTATTCACTTTACTTGGTTACGTTTGAACAAGATATGTGGGTAGAGTAGAATGGTACAGGTTGCATAATAAAAAGCAGACAGTTTATAACATATGGTACTGGGAATATAGATTAACAATTGAGATGCTAGCTAATATTACAGAGAATTAAAAGACTAAAAAATAAATTACAGGACTGCATCTAGGACATTCCATTTTCTGTAAAAATGTTTCATATTATCGTTTTTCTTCTCGATAAATTTCTCTATCTCGTAGATATCTTTTAATAATGTTCTGTAGATGGTGAAGCTAGGTTTGTGTCCTTTTATATTCATTACGAAAATGTGGCTTTGCCAATAGCATCATGTGGTTGAGTAAGTGGTTACTACTGCAACAAAATAGAATATCATGATTTGACATTTCATACGTTTTACCAAGGACTTGAGTTATAAAATTGTTAAATTCTGACCAGAACATTTTGATGGTTGGACAATCAAGGTATACATGGTAAATATCCTCACTTACTGAACCACGTAATGTACATAGGTCATTATCTATCAATTTCATTTTTAGTAATTCACGTTTAGTGTAAATGACTCTATGCAAAAACTTATATTGAAAATCTAAGAGTTTCGTGTCTTTAGTGCATTGTCTATATTGTAAAAATATGGTTTTCCAATTTAACAACTCATTTAGTTCCCCGTTCCATTTGAGACACACATTCAGAATGTTATAATCAGATATAAAATTATCATAGAATATCCTTGAACCTTTACTAGGTTTAATCAAATCGTTCCAAGGAGAGCACATAGATAACGACTGTATATCAAAATTGTTATTTGTTCGTATAACTTCTTTCCACTGTTTGGGTATACTAAGGAGAACACGATTAAAGTCAAGTACAGTACCTTTAATACCAAATTTTGCCTTAAGTTCTGCGAATGGTAGAAATGCGTGGTCATTACAAATATCTTTAATATAAACTATTCCACATTTAATCCAGTTATGAATGATCAAACTTGGCTGGTAACACTGGTGATTTAACCATAGTGGCTGCATGAGTATTTCATTAATGTCGTTATTGTTACATACCGATCTTTTAACATATCTATGCCAGGCATCAAGAGAATCTTTCCAAAATGGATTTTTAATATTATAATGTTTTGTGATGTTGGCTCCTAAAAAAGAAGGTTTTGTAGAGGGAAACCGCTGAGAGCATAGTTCTTAGGTTTTGAAATATATCTCTTCAAACATGAAAGTTTTAAAGAGTCGATAAAAGGTTTTCACGTCGACCATTCTTAGACCACCTTCTTAGTTACCTTCCATTACTAAATTAATTAGTTTTATTTTATCAATTTTATCATTCCATATAAATTTGAAGAATAATCTGTTCAAATCAGTAATAAATGTTTTGGGGAGAGAAGAGAAGATGTGACAATCGTGGATAGAGCTAAACTTTTAACGACGGGTTATTTTCCCTATCAACGTTAAATTGCGTCTTTTCCAATTCAGTAGAATTCTTTTTATATTTTCGAGTCTCTTCTTTGTATTAATTACCCATAGGTTTTCTAAATGAGCATTTAATTTGATTCCCAATACTTCGAAATTCTCATTATGCCAATCCATCTTATAGTCCTGGGATAGGACTATTTTACTACCTGCCATTGAGCCTAGCAATACTACTTTTGTTTTATCAATATTTATTTTCAAACCTGACACCTTGTAAAAGGAAAGCAAAGTTTTCATAGCTTCATTAAGAGAGGTTTCGGAACCATCCAAAAATAATTCAGTGTCATCTGCATATTGACCAATGTTCGATGTCGTTTAAAACAATTCCTTTTATTCTGTGGTTGTCTCTGATCATTATTCCTAGTATTTCTGCTACCAATAAGAATAGCTATGGAGATATGGGATCACCCTGTCTACAACCCCTTTCATTATCGAAAAACGTGGACAAGTGACCATTAGACCATTAGAAATCAATATGTTAACCCATCTTTGAATGTTACTTCCAAAACCAAACTTGTCTAGGACCATCTTAATGAATAATTTTGACACGGTGTCGAAAGCTTTTTCAAAGTCAATTAAGATTAGTAAACCTTTTATGTTTTGCCTTTTAATTTCAAACATAATGTCATAAAGAAGTCTAATGTTTTCCGTAATGCATCTTCCTGGAATGAATCCTGTTTGATAATGTTAGCTAATGTAAAGTATTAGCTTATCTGATGGCAGCTTTAAACAGTTGAAGGTCAATCTTAGGATTGTTCTTCAGCCAACCATGCTTTCCGTGTGATCTGACAAATGTGGTCAGACTCGCTCACTTTGATGATGCAAACAAAGAAATCTAGCCGACTCAGCCATCATGCCTGCCACAAAAATGAAAGTCGGACCACAGGTAGTCAAGATCACATACTTGTGTCCCCAAGGAATTGCTTCGAAAGCTGTGTGTACTGGCGATTAGGTGCCTGACTCTAATAGCGTGGGTTCAACCCCCAAAAGTACAGGAATCTGTACTTACCTGAGAAAGTGCAGTCTCAAATATGATATGAGTTACATTTGACCACTTTGTAAAAGGCACCGTATATTCAATGATTACAGTGTTTGAAATTTAGGGGACCCTTCCATCTTTGGTACTGTTAAGGATCAATGTGTCTTTCAACTCTTTTAGTTTCATTCCTTGAAACTCCTATTGACATGACTCACCATCAAACCAAACATGAGCATCATTGATGCTTTCTTATGGCTTCTTATCTTGAAAGTTTAGTTCTGAACATAATAGTACTTCTGTAACAACTTAACTACCACATAGCTGATGTCCAGTCTCTTACAGAGTAGCCTCCCCTGAGGTAGTTAGCAGAACATACAATACTGGGGCATTAACCTTGGCGTCACATGACACACAACTGGGCCATTACAACTTTATGCCTAATTCGAACAATGTTGCCTTGACAGTCTGAGACAAAATAGTGTCATCGCCTGTATTTCTCTGAAGTGGTGTACTGGTATAGTATTATAGTTACAAGAAATGTCATGACTTTCTAGAGGTAACTTATATATCAGTGATAATAGGCTCAATAAAGAAGAAGTGGATTTAAGGCCTAGAAAATGTTGTGTTTCCGATTACCCAACCGACCCTTGAATTCTGGTGCCGATCCTATTTTTTGTTAGCAGTATGAATAAAATAAGCTTTCAGATACAATTGGGTTTTTTCAGCGCCGACAGACATCAGCCTGGTGCTAGAAATTTCAATCTGAAACTTCATTGAATAAACAACTATACATTGATAAATGTGCTATTCGTTCGTACTTTACGTCTTTAAAAAATCATACATACCTACCCTAAATTTTAAAGAGGTGTAATCAGAACCACAACATTTTAAATATAATATTCAAATTTTTATATTGAGTGCAGTGTTTAAATCCATCCACAAAAATAAGAACTTTCAAAAGATTGCAATTTTGAGCAATGTAATAAAATAATTTCTTTACCAATTTACCTGCCAAGGGCACTTAGTTTAGAATCCTTGATAAATGCCAGCTTGCTGCAGATCACTTGTTAACTGATGACCTTGTTTGTTGCAGAGCGCGGGGGTAGAACAATGCTGTATGTCCCTGACAGTGTGGATAGCATAGCAGACTTTGGGACCGATTCCACAACTTCTATCACACCATCACAGCATGTCTACTACACGGACAACACACCAAAACGCCAGAGTCTGGAGAGTGAGACATCCTTTGACAGTGGTTACTTCTCTCCACCGGCCACCGGACCCTCCAGTTACACCCACCTAATGCAGCAACTGCCACAACCACAACCACAACCACAACCACCATTGTACACTTCCAACCTTGTGCAGCAGAGTCCATCCAAGATTGCTATGATGGCGTCTGTGATCGATGACCTCACCTCCCCCAGACCTAACAGTCATGACCTGCCTCTGCTGGATGACTGGGACAAGAACTTCATTGAAAACTTTGAAGAAAATCTTTTCAGTATAGATACTGATGTTGACATTGGTTTGCTTGAAGGTCTTTTTAAGAGTCCCTTAAAGAGTCCCCTGAGGATTCTGAGTCCAGGCAAAAGAGGTCTGACCTCCAGCACAAGTCCATACAAAATGGCGGTTTCAAGGAGTCCTTACAAGAGCCATTTTATTCCAAGTCCTCGTAAGATGAGTGATGTGCCACGGAAGAGGGTTGTGTCAGTGGAGAGTAGCAGACATGGGTTTGACCCTACACGAAGACAGTTTGATGGAGTAGGGTTTGTCCAGTCAGGATCTCATGGAGGTCAGCATCAGGTCATGTCAAAGGTCATGCCAGCAGAAACCATGACAACCAATGTTCTGGGGGCAGGAGTTCTGTCAGCTTCAGAAAACAAACCAAGCAACACATACATTGGCATCCCGCTGACAAACATTGGTGGCCCCTCAGCACAAAAGCGTATTAGATTGGACTCAAAGTCTTGTACAAATCCAAAACAAATCCGAAAAACCAAAGAAAACAGTGCTCCTTGCGTTTCCCGCCAGAAACTGCAACAAGCCCGTGCCAATTTTAGACTTTCGCTGGAGAAGGCCATGGAGACAGCAGCATCCAGGGGGCTGCATCGTAAGTCCGACCAGTACCCACAGCTGTCTAGAGCTCTGTCCAAACCAAGCAGTGATACAGCTCCTAGTCCCACCCAGGGGGTGTCCAGTGATGGGATGGAGATTGCCAGCCCCACCTCAGAGGTCCCCAGCTCTGCCCAGGGCAACCCCTACCTTGAGGAAGATGCTGAAATCCCGAGTTCCTGGCTGGGAGGGAGCGGCACTGAGGTTGGCGCTTACGAAGTCGAGCCCCAGTCAGAGTGCAAAGTTGTAATACGCAAGAGAAGAAGATGATCAGCTTAATGTCGCTTGTGAATATTTTTGCTTTTGATAGGCAATCTCTTGTGAAAACAATTATTTTTGACTTTTCTGCAGCATTTCTTATTTGATTATATACCTGAACTAATATTTGCAAATTACAGAATATTTCCTTTGTTTTTCAAATGCATAACAAAGTATTAATTCAATTTTCATTGTATATGTTTGTTGATCCAGAACACATTGAAACATACTTAAGGATATGTTGTAAGCAGCTGATTGAATTGCCTAGACAATGGTTTACTTAATTGTGCTTGTGTGTATTGTACATATACATACATCTTGTTTTTGAGTCATACCAGTAACCATGGCGATCCTGATCATCGAATAATGTTAGACACAGGGAAGGTTATACTTGGAGGTCATTTATCAGAGGTTATTGTCAAAAGAAAACACACCAAGAAAACACATTTTTACATGGTTAAGAGAACACTGACAATGATCATGTTGATTCTTTTAAGATTATTGACCAGACCAAGTTGTTGTTTTTCTGTCATACAGGTCTGGATTTGTAAGATGCCTAGAATCTGGAAACAGTGATGCCGCAGTCAATAGCTGCCAAATTGTGGCGTGAAACAATAGTCACTTATTAATAGGTTGACATCACATTGCATGTTATGTAACGACAACATAGATGTATTCAATTCACTATATTTTACATAGATAAAAAATTATAATGATAATCCATTTATGGCTCCAGATATGCATGAAGTATACAGGTTCGTCAAATGGTAAAGTAATATAGGAGATTGTTTTGTGACAGAGTTGTCCCCCCTTTGACCATGAAGGCGTCGGCTAACTGTACAGTTGAAAGTTGATTGACAGCTCAGTATCGTTCTGTTGTTTATCTGTTAACATTGACCATGTATGCTTAAAAGTATTGGCAAATTCTACATATCACTTTCAATTTGAAAATAATTTGTGAATATTTTTCGTAAGGAGTTAATGATTTTGCTGAAAAGGAAGGCAGCAACCATCAAATATCACATCCTTCAAACCTTTATGGACTTAACCAGTATAATTCCTATCAAAATCATCCTGTTAACCAAATGTGTTTAATTGGTTATCGCTATGGAATCTGTCAAGAGCTGTGACATTAATTACATGTTTTGTTGACATGGAGTGGGGGGAAGTTGCATACAGAGATTTTGAGGCAATTGTCCAGGTATGACAGCTGACCACACTAATGGCTCCACCCCACCAACTCACTGCAACAGCTTCAATACTCCCTTTCAGCACCATCCCACTTTTTCATAGGTCCACCCCACCCTTTTACAGAGCCACCCTTACCCTTCCTAACTCCACCCACCTTCAGCTCCACCCACCTCCCCCAGTTCCGCCCACTACCCGCAGCTCCGCCCACCATCCTCAGTTCCACCCACATCTCCGCTCACCACCCTCAGCTCCACTCACCACCCTCAGTTTTGCCCATCACCCCCAGTTCCGCCCTCAGCCCACCGCACTCAGCTTCACTCATCACCCTGCGTTCTGCCCACCACCCCCCACTTTCGCCCTCCAACCCCCAGCTCGGCCCACCACCCTCTGAGATCTAGATTATCCTCTTCTAGAGGTCTACCCAATAGGGCTGGCTATCGACAAATATCATAGAGATCGATTATCGATGAATATTGGAGAAGTAACTTTATCCAAAATAACAAACATAATTCTGGAAGAAATGAATATATATCAGAACACTGTTGAGTGGAGACATACAGTCAAATCCCAATGAGTCGAATCGCTGAGGACCAAGTAATAAATTCGACTTATCGATGTATTCGAGACATAGGTATGTCTATGAGGGTAGAAAAAAAGAGTATCCAGTCCTAATTCCTCCGCCTAAGCATTTGTTTATCTAATGATTTCCATATCACTAATAGGGGCACCTTATCAGTTACAGTCTGATTAGCACAGACAGTGATTTCCGTAAAATCACTAATCTGACTTTTGAACTCACCTGTTAATGGCAGAAAGGTGTGAGTCGCTATGGTTTGTTAATTGGATCAGTTTGCTACACCAATCAACTTCTCATTGACTGACTTCGGCTTATGTATACAAGATTGCTGTTGTTTGAATCTCATGGGACCAAATTTCCTTCTCGAGTCATCGTGTGTATTTATGAGACGAATTCGTGTAACCGGTATTCAAATGATGACAACTATAACAGGGAATGGTCGGGACCGACAGGTACTTCGAGTTATGCATAATATTCGAGATACCGGCATTCAACTCATCGGGATTGGACTGTATTTACAAAACAGCGTCTGAATAGAATTTAGAATCAGGCCATTAATAAAATCCTAAATTTGTGTATTGTGTGAGTAAATGAAAACTTCATTCTATCACAGAAGTTTATGTGTAGATGATACTATTTTCATAATGATAAACATTAATAATTTTTCTTGACGCTATTTCTGATTATCGAACTTTTTTTTAGCCAGTCCTATTACCCAACCCTTTCAACAACCCCACGCCCATGCACCTTTACACCTCAAGCTCCAGACCGCCCAAACATTACCCCAAGACAAGGATATCAGTTTATAATAGTGTTCTGGTAAGATAAACATATAATCCTCATACCGTCAGTCAGTGTAGACTTGTCACTGTTGCAGGTTGAAGGACATGTTTTTATATAGACTGGTGATGGCCAGGTTTGATGTGTACAATGTTGTAAGAAGCGATGTTGGACGAGGATTGTCTTTCAGTCATGTTTGCTGGATGTTGTCTGTGATAAGTGTGATTTTAACGGGTATTTATTGACTTGTGTTGTGATGACATCTGTTTAGCATGGATACATCAATGTATCATCGAGGGGATAACATCTACATTGTATCGATACAGGGACCCAACTGTAGGGTTGACAAGGATTTATTATTGAGGTATACCATTCACAGGGTTAACAGCTGTTGAGTATTGAGGTATACTATAGACGGGGTTGTCATGTTTTAGTATTGAGGTGTCACATGCATAGAGTTAACGACTGTTTTGTATCGGTACAGGTATGCCATGCATAGAGTTGATGGCTGTTTTGTATCGGTACAGGTATACCATGCATAAAGTTGACAACTGTTTTGTATCGGTACAGGTATACCATGCATAGAGTTGACAACTGTTTCATATCGGTACAGGTATACCATGCATAGAGTTGACGACTTTCGTATCGGTACAGGTATACCATGCATAAAGTTGACGACTTTTGTATTGATACAGGTATACCATGCATAGAGTTGACAACTGTTTCGTATCAGTACAGGTATACCATGCATAAAGTTGACAGTTGTTTTGTATCGGTACAGGTATACCATGCATAGAGTTGACGACTTTTGTATCGGTACAGGTATACCATGCATAAAGTTGACAACTGTTTTGTATTGGTACAGGTATACCATGCAGAGAGTTGACAACTGTTTAGTATCGGTACAGGTATACCATGCATAAAGTTGACAACTGTTTCGTATCGGTACAGGTATACCATGCATAGAGTTGACAACTGTTAAGTATCGGTACAGGTATACCATGCATAGAGTTGACAACTGTTAAGTATCGGTACAGGTATACCATGCATAGAGTTGACGACTGTTTCGTATCGGTACAGGTATACCATGCATAGAGTTGACAACTGTTTTGTATCGGTACAGGTATACCATGCATAGAGTTGACAACTGTTTTGTATCGGTACAGGCATACCATGCATAGAGTTGACGACTGTTTCGTATCGGTACAGGTATACCATGCATAAAGTTGACGACTGTTTTGTATTGATACAGGTATACCATGCATAGAGTTGACAACTGTTTCGTATCAGTACAGGTATACCATGCATAAAGTTGACAGTTGTTTTGTATCGGTACAGGTATACCATGCATAGAGTTGACGACTTTTGTATCGGTACAGGTATACCATGCATAAAGTTGACAACTATTTCGTATCGGTACAGGTATACCATGCATAGAGTTGACAACTGTTTAGTATCGGTACAGGTATACCATGCATAAAGTTGACAACTGTTTTGTATTGATACAGGTATACCATGCATAGAGTTGACAACTGTTTTGTATCGGTACAGGTATACCATGCATAAAGTTGACGACTGTTTTGTATTGATACAGGTATACCATGCATAGAGTTGACAACTGTTTCGTATCAGTACAGGTATACCATGCATAAAGTTGACAACTGTTTTGTATTGATACAGGTATACCATGCATAGAGTTGACAACTGTTTCGTATCAGTACAGGTATACCATGCATAAAGTTGACAACTGTTTTGTATCGGTACAGGTATACCATGCATAGAGTTGACGACTGTTTCGTATCGGTACAGATATACCATGCATAGAGTTGACAATTGTTTTGTATCGGTACAGGTATACCATGCATAAAGTTGACAACTGTTTAGTATCAATACAAGGCCCCCATCTATAGGGTTGACATCTGTTTGGTATTGATACATGATACAGATTTTTATGAAGCAAGAGAATAACATCCATTTATATCAATACAAATATGTACCATCTGTCTATCAGTTGGTTAGCCTACCACTGTACAGTGTGTATCCAGTTGTTATACAGTAGTGCTGGATATATCCCTAGCATGATAGCTTGCGTTTTGTCGGTGTACGTCCCGAGCCATGAGGTCTAATGCTGGTACTAGCATCATGGTGCCCCGAAAGGCCAATATATATATAGTATGGTGATGATTAAGTATGAAAAAAGTAATAATATACCGTATATATTTGGACTCCAATTTTACGGTTTTCTTTTCCTGTAGTACTGTATTGTAGCCAGCAAAACGTTGATGTTAGGGGTTACTTTTAATCTGTTAATTTTGAACCTGGATAGGTTGGTTTAATGTTTCCAGTGAGGCTTTTTTTTTGCAGCTTAAAAATGTGAGAAATCGGTTCTCCTGTTTATCCTAAACAGACTTGACCTTTATGAGACTGACAAGTGATAACATCAGTTTCTATTCCCTTCTGCATGCTGTGCTTGATTTCAAGTATATTGTTGCCTTATTCACACTAACATTTTCACATACTTTCTGAGGTGTGGTCTGTACAGATTCTCACTGCACTCTGCCTGGTTTATAGTACAACGTCATTATGCCACTCAATGGAACACTCAAGCCTAAAACATCAGTACAACACAGATCTTTGTGGCCTACATCTGTGATTAAGCTGAAGATTTGATGTGTTTTAGGAACTTCCCCATGACTATTGTTAGTTTGATATAATTTCATGTTTAATGCAAAATCTGGCTTTGAAAAGCTCCAGTCAAAAATGAGGCGTGGACCAGTTGGATAATATATCTTTGAGAGGGATTTAGAACATGTTTGAACATGAAGACATCAAACTTTTTATCATATAATGGCTACTGTTAGCAATGTGATAACCCTGGTATTAGCATAATGTGATAAATATGCAAATGAGGTAACTGGGCAGGAACTACTTACATGCTAAGGTCTGTGTATCAAATCGGTGCTTGCTTACTGAAAAAAATATTCCCATACAGTTCCTAATACATAAGACAAAAATGGCAGCCATTCATCTGAAGCTTTATCATAAATAGGGCGGTGTATTCGTGTTGCATTTCTTCAGTTTCTTTAGTCACATTACAAGTAAATATGTACTCAGTTTTTGTTATTTTAAGATTAGCATTATATGATAAAGGGTTTGTGTGCTTCCATATCAAAAATATATACGGTGTTGGTTATGTTTGTCAAGGCGAACATCATACAAGTTTTGTTATGGTTCATAGTAACTATACAGAAATACACTTAGCTTGGTATGGCTGACGATTATTCTGTCTATCCATGTTTCAGGGCTACTTCCTGCCACTTCACCTGATGTCTGTTTAATGTTTGTTTAAAGCCACACTCTGCAATATCCAGCTACATGATGGCGGTCTGATAATAATCACGGACCAAACAATCCAGTGATCGATATCAGTCACCTATGTCAAGTATGGGTTGCTGAAGACCAGTTAAAACATGAAGGAGCCGGAAGCTGCCCTAAAATGTATGGATAAACAATAACTTGCTGGCCAAGTATCCCATCATCCTGTCAGACTTTCGCAAACTGTGTATTGACACAAAGTAGAACTTAGGAGGCACAGCTAACCCAGCCGTCTGAGCTAACCATAGGTCGCTGTGGAGAGTTCCTTACCTTAGGTGTAATAGAAACCTATGATCATGGGTTGGAATCTGAGATACTCAGAGATTGGTTCTTGGTTCACTGGCAGCATGCTGGTATTCGAGTTTCAGTGAAGTGGAAATTATCTGACTGACCAGTGGTTTAACTGATGTAAACACCATGGTAGAACTTAAATAACATTCAAAGCCCATTATATCAAACTGACAGTTAGGACTTGAATTGGCTGATGTTTATGACTGACTAATGGTAGCATCTCACAGGAGCTTGGCCGCTCCTCTGGATTGTTTTAGCCTTGACTAGTCTCTTGTTCTTATGTAGACAGGCCTCTGTGAGGGCCAGATTTTATACTGGATCTGATGCGATATGTGTGTATATATTAGCAGTTCATTTGTAGATGTGTATGTGTACAGCTTAGCAGCAGATTATTTATTAATTTGTTTGTACATTTATGATTACATAGAAAACTGAAAGTGCTTTTAATTCTTGAAATTTAGGAATATTTGTGCTTGTGTTTTTTTGGAGAGAAAAACTTCTTTTACAAATTGTGTGCTGTGTACATTTATTATAGATGTTGTCTTGCAGCATGTTGTTGTCCAGGGGGTTATAACAAGGTCACCGATTTGAGAAGGAACACAGTTTGCCTCAGACAAGGAAATTCATACTCCTCGCAGAGGGTATTTGGAAAATATATTTTGGGGGGGATATAAACTTTTGATGGAATTTACAAAAATATTTTGATATGAGTTATTATATTAACCCATGTGCTTCTGTTTGATGCATGGCCAGGTGTATTTATCTACTCATGGTTACTGTGTCTGCATGTTGTCTGTTATTACAACTAGTTTGTATCGTGAAGTTTCCACCTCCTCAGTGTCCACACAGTGCTGTATTTATAGCAGTCCTTATTTGCTGCTATGCCACCACCAGCCAGCAAAATAAAAACTCTAAAATACTTCCTGTGTTATTGTGTTTTCATTTGTGGTTACTGACCATGTGCTTGCTATGAATGTACGTCCAGTTCTTGAACCCCTATAACCAGACATCTCCAGGGTGTCTGTTGTGAAGATCACTGACCATGTGCTTGCTATGTCTGTACATCCAGTTCTTGTACCCCTATAACCAGACATCTCCAGGGTGTCCGTTGTGAAGATAACTGGCTATGTGCTTGCTATGTCAGTACATCCAGTTCTTGTACCCCTATAACCAGACATCTCCAGGGTGTCTGTTGTGAAGATCACTGACCATGTGCTTGCTATGTCTGTACATCCAGTTCTTGTACCCCTATAACCAGACATCTCCAGGGTGTCCGTTGTGAAGATAACTGGCCATGTGCTTGCTATGTCTGTACATCCAGTTCTTGTACCCCTATAAGCAGACATCTCCAGGGTGTCCGTTGTGAAGATCACTGACCATGTGCTTGATGTATGTACATCCAGTTCTTGTACCCCTATAAGCAGACATCTCCAGGGTGTCCGTTGTGAAGATAACTGGCCATGTGCTTGTACCTCCAGTTCCTGTACCCCTATAACCAGACATCTCCAGGGTGTCCGTTGTGAAGATCACTGACCATGTGCTTGATGTATGTACATCCAGTTCTTGTACCCCTATAACCAGACATCTCCAGGGTGTCCGTTGTGAAGATAACTGGCCGTGTGGTTGCTATGTCTGTACATCCAGTTCTTGTACCCCTATAAGCAGACATCTCCAGGGTGTCTGTTGTAAAGATCACTGACCATGTGCTTGCTATGTATGTACATCCAGTTCTTGTACCCCTATAACCAGACATCTCCAGGGTGTCCGTTGTGAAGATCACTGACCATGTGCTTGATGTATGTACATCCAGTTCTTGTACCCCTATAACCAGACATCTCCAGGGTGTAAGCAGACATCTCCAGGGTGTCCGTTGTGAAGATAACTGGCCATGTGCTTGCTATGTCTGTACATCCAGTTCTTGTACCCCTATAAGCAGACATCTCCAGGGTGTCTGTTGTGAAGATCACTGACCATGTGCTTGCTATGTCTGTACATCCAGTTCTTGTACCCCTATAACCAGACATCTCCAGGGTGTCTGTTGTGAAGATCACTAACCATGTGCTTGCTATGTCTGTACATCCAGTTCTTGTACCCCTATAACCAGACATCTCCAGGGTGTCCGTTGTGAAGATCACTGACCATGTGCTTGCTATGTAAGTACATCCAGTTCTTGTACCCCTATAACCAGACATCTCCAGGGTGTCCGTTGTGAAGATAACTGGCCATGTGCTTGCTATGTCTGTACATCCAGTTCTTGTACCCCTATAAGCAGACATCTCCAGGGTGTCTGTTGTGAAGATCACTGACCATGTGCTTGCTATGTCTGTACATCCAGTTCTTGTACCCCTATAACCAGACATCTCCAGGGTGTCCGTTGTGAAGATCACTGACCATGTGCTTGCTGTACATCAGTTCTTGTGCCCCCTATGTCTGTACATCCAGTTCTTGTACCCCTATAACCATAACCTCCAGGGTGTCCGTTGTGAAGATATCTCCAGGTGTTGCTATGTCCGTTGTTCTTGAAGATAACTGGCCGTGTTGAAGATTGCTATGTCTGTACATCCAGTTCTTGTACCCTATAACCAGACATCTCCAGGGTGTCTGTTGTGAAGATCACTGACCATGTGCTTGCTATGTCTGTACATCCAGTTCTTGTACCCCTATAACCAGACATCTCCAGGGTGTCTGTTGTGAAGATCACTGACCATGTGCTTGATGTCTGTACATCCAGTTCTTGTACCCTATAACCAGACATCTCCAGGGTGTCCGTATGTACATCCAGTTCTTGTACTGACCATCTGCTTGATGTATGTACATCCAGTTCTTTGATGTACCCTATAACCAGACATCTCCAGGTTGTCCGTTGTGAAGATAACTGGCCATGTGCTTGATGTATGTACATCCAGTTCTTGTACCCCTATAACCAGACATCTCCAGGGTGTCCGTTGTGAAGATAACTGGCCATGTGTTTGATGTAAGTACATCCAGTTCTTGTACCCCTATAACCAGACATCTCCAGGGTGTCCGTTGTGAAGATCACTGACCATGTGCTTGATGTATGTACATCCAGTTCTTGTACCCCTATAACCAGACATCTCCAGGGTGTCCGTTGTGAAGATAACTGGCCATGTGCTTGTACCTCCAGTTCCTGTACCCCTATAACCAGACATCTCCAGGGTGTCCGTTGTGAAGATCACTGACCATGTGCTTGATGTATGTACATCCAGTTCTTGTACCCCTATAACCAGACATCTCCAGGGTGTCCGTTGTGAAGATCACTGACCATGTGCTTACTATGTCTGTACATCCAGTTCTTGTACCCCTATAACCAGACATCTCCAGGGTGTCCGTTGTGAAGATAACTGGCCGTGTGGTTGCTATGTCTGTACATCCAGTTCTTGTACCCCTATAACCAGACATCTCCAGGGTGTCTGTTGTAAAGATCACTGACCATGTGCTTGCTATGTCTGTACATCCAGTTCTTGTACCCCTATAACCAGACATCTCCAGGGTGTCTGTTGTGAAGATAACTGGCCATGTGCTTGCTATGTCTGTACATCCAGTTCTTGTACCCCTATAACCAGACATCTCCAGGGTGTCCGTTGTGAAGATCACTGACCATGTGCTTGCTATGTCTGTACATCCAGTTCTTGTACCCCTATAACCAGACATCTCCAGGGTGTCCGTTGTGAAGATCACTGACCATGTGCTTGCTATGTCTGTACATCCAGTTCTTGTACCCCTATAACCAGACATCTCCAGGGTGTCCGTTGTGAAGATCACTGACCATGTGCTGTATGTACTGATCATCAGTTCTTGTACCCTATAACCAGACATCTCCAGGGTGTCCGTTGTGAAGATCACTGACCATGTGCTTGCTATGTCTGTACATCCAGTTCTTGTACCCCTATAAGCAGACATCTCCAGGGTGTCTGTTGTGAAGATCACTGACCATGTGCTTGCTATGTCTGTACATCCAGTTCTTGTACCCCTATAACCAGACATCTCCAGGGTGTCTGTTGTGAAGATAACTGGCCATGTGCTTGCTATGTCTGTACATCCAGTTCTTGTACCCCTATAACCAGACATCTCCAGGGTGTCCGTTGTGAAGATCACTAACCATGTGCTTGCTATGTCTGTACATCCAGTTCTTGTACCCCTATAAGCAGACATCTCCAGGATGTCTGTTGTGAAGATCACTGACCATGTGCTTGCTATGTCTGTACATCCAGTTCTTGTACCCCTATAACCAGACATCTCCTGGGTGTCCGTTGTGAAGATCACTGACCATGTGCTTGATGTATGTATATCCAGTTCTTGTACCCCTATAACCAGACATCTCCAGGGTGTCCGTTGTGAAGATCACTAACCATGTGCTTGCTATGTCTGTACATCCAGTTCTTGTACCCCTATAACCAGACATCTCCAGGGTGTCTGTTGTGAAGACCGAGGACCATGTGCTTGTTATGTCTGTACATCCAGTTCTTGTACCCCTATAACCAGACATCTCCAGGGTGTCTGTTGTGAAGACCGAGGACCATGTGCTTGCTATGTCTGTACATCCAGTTCTTGTACCCCTATAACCAGACATCTCCAGGGTGTGTGTTGTGAAGATCACTGACCATATGCTTGCTATCTCTGTACACCCAGTTCTTGTACCCCTATAACCAGACATCTCCAGGGTGTCCGTTGTGAAGACTGAGGACCATGTGCTTGCTATGTCTGTACATCCAGTTCCTGTACCCCTATAACCAGTCATCTCCAGGGTGTTGGACATCCTGTTCTTAGTGAAGACATATATTAAGTGAATCCCTGTTTCCTGCATTGTTAGAGATTTGTTCGGTAAAATAATTCATTAGTTGATAAAGATGCATAGTAAAATTATAAGTTTAGGGACCATTCATAATTCATGGCTAGGGGGGTGGGGGGTGTGATGGTGATTTTTATGGAGAAGCATGTACAATGTGATTGACCCCCCCAAAAAAACATATATATATGTACAAAGTAAGTGACCCCCCTGCATGTCATGTACAAATCAATGAGCCCCCTCCCCCTTCCCATATTTTTATAGCATAATTTTAAAATATTTTTATGTATAAAATTGCTGACCCCCCTAGAACCTGTACAAAATTGATTACCCCCCTACCTCCCAAGAACAAAATGGATGAACACACACACACACACACACCCTAAAATCATCACGCCCCTTAGCCATAAATTATGAACGGTCCCTTAAGCAAGACTCGGTGTGGCTATTCTACAGGAGTGTACCCATCACGCTGTGTACAGTTCCACCACCTATTGTCTCAACCCAGGAACTGTGCTGTTGATGTGCCAGTCTGATATTGATTCTGTTGCAACCTGATATGGTCGTCTTCTCAATGCGACATTACACATGGATGGTTATTTACAGCTAAACAAAGGTGTATTAATAAGCAGCTGATAACTCCCCGACATCGGTGTGCTGTTCGCAATCCAAAACCCATGTGTATCACTCTCCCACCAACACAATCAAATTGTGTCAAGATGCTGTCTGAATATGAATCCAAAGATGTATTATTTAACAAGAATTAATTCAACTATACTGAACTTGACATGAAGCTAATTAACTTTTCAGTATTTAAGAAAAGCAAGATTTATGGATGTCAACTTCTTTAATGTGAATAACACGACGTTTCAGAGTGTATGCTTGCTCCTTCACCAAGTTCTTTAACTTGGTTGGTGACCATCACCCATCTGTGTGGCGAACCATCGAATGGTTCCAGAAGGAGAACACAACAGTGAGGACTAACTGCTGAGGACATCATCGGCAATATGCCTGTGAATAAACCAAAGACTGTTTTCATCAAGATGCAGAAACTACCGCAGAGACTGTGCACTGACATTGTTTCACGGAGGAAATCAATCCCACAGTTTCTCCATGGTGTGGCCACCAATACAAGACTAAATAAAATTCAGTAAATGTCAGCAAATTCTTGCAAATGTATCAGTGCAGATGCAATTTTTTGTCAATTTACATTGTTCTATGTGAATAAAGTATTAAAAACCTTCAGATCTATGTTTTTTCTTAACATTTGTTATAAAAAATTAAAAGGAGGACTTTTTTTCGAGGCAAAATAATACTTTTTTACCGGTATTTTTTTTCCAAGGACTTTTTTTCTGAAGACTGTTTTTCATATACCACTGAGTACAATGTCAACTGTAAAAACAAGAGTCACTTGAGCCTCAATAAGAGATGGGGCAGGAGGGTTGCTTTATGTTAATAAAATGTGTGGAATAAAACACACAACTGGTCATCCTCTGGAAAAATACATGTTTGCATGTTGAGTAACATCAGTAGTGGCTGAGAATATTTGTCCCTGTTCTGAGATTATTATTCACTGAGCAAATTAACATTGACCAAGGGCCATAACAGTGTATGTACACGATAAAGTCCAAACATGCAGCAATGAAAATACAAGGACAGATCAATTTTGGAACACAGTCTTGGTAATTACCTCTTAGATAAGCTTGCAGTTTCATGTATGTATTCACTTCATTAATTCACTTTAGTGGAATGCATGGAACACCAATTGTTCAACTGATATTAGATCGACACCAGTAACAGTTGAGTTCTCAGTCAGTTTTGTTTTTTAGTGATAGTGAGTCAGGGAGGAAGGTCAGTGTTTTTAGCAATATTCTAGAAATATCAGGGGAACCAGAAATTGACAGCATTCATTTTTCCCATGTGGGGAATCAAACCCGGGTCTTCGGCGTACCAAGTGAACACTTTAACCACTAGGCTACCCCACCGCTCCCATTGATAAGAAAATAGATGGACAGGCAAACTCTTATTGTATCCCCTCCCAACAGATTTGGTGACCTTTATCATGAATGTTTCAGTCAAATTAATTTTTCTGTAGAGGTGACATGATAGAATGTCAGGGCATCAAAAGCCCTGTTATCTGATGGCTGGACACATCAAGAAATGGCACCGGATCACTCACCTTGCTTACAACGCCTATAATTTGGGTCATCATCTCATGTCCAGGATGTGTGGACAGTAATTACTTCATGGTTATAAACAGACATAAGGCCAGACCAATTTTATCTCTTGTTTTACGGAATTTTGTCAGAAAACCTAAAGGCAGGAGGGGAAAAATAAAAATAAAGTCACCAGTCAAAGTAATATTCCTTCTAAATACTCAAAGTATTTTACTTTTGGCAATTTATGAAGTGTATATGGGGCAAAAAAACAACCTCAAATTTTTGTTGTTGTAAGTTTACATTTTTGGCCAATAAAAACATTAGGATTTTATTTTTTGAGCAGGTAAAATTAATTTTTATTTTTTTTCTTCTTGAACAAATATGACAGGCGGATCCGTAAAACAAGAAACAAAATTGGTCTGGCCTAACCTCACAACAAGTTTCTTGGTTTTCTTCACTCTCAGTTTATTACCAATAGTAGTTGAATAAAAATATATTTAAAATACCACAACAATTCTGATGTCCTTGATGGGCGCATGTCACAGCTGGTCAGCACATGGTCAGAGAATACTGACCAGAGGGGGGGTGTCACTGCAGGTCAGCACATGGTCAGGGAATGCTGACCAGAGGGGGGGGTGTCACTGCAGGTCAGCACATGGTCAGGGAATGCTGACCAGAGGAGATGTGTCACTGCAGCTCAGCACAAGGTCTGACCAATAAACAACGAGAGTTAACTTAATGAGTGACTTTTGGAGCAGAACCATCATTATGTATCATGTAGGTGGGAGCAGTAAACACAGAACCGCCCACAACAGGTGCTGTCAGATATGGCACATTTTCCGTTTCACAAGAACATATTACCCGTACTTTACTTGGCATAAATGTGTTATTCCCCATGTTGAAAATAAGGCAGTCACATTAAAACAATGAACACAAGTGTAACTGATAGAAGTATGAATTATGTGGGATTCAAGGAGATTCAAGGAGATTCAACTGAGAAATGTTTATATCTTGCCACGGTCACCATGATGACAATTAGTTTCACTTTTATACCTTCTTCACCTTGATAACAAACAATAATAACAATATAAATGACTTTCTAAATAAACCCAAACTGTTCCCTGGTTCACAAAGCAACCATCCCTCTGTGATTGTCAAAGCTCTGCTGTAACAGACTTCATACTCACAGCAATGTGATTGCTTTGAGAAAAGGGCCTCTGAACACTCAGATCCGCAAACCTGTGGTAAGTTCAACAAAGTTGAAGATGAGGCGATCATGTAACTTTTCATTTCTCAAACACACACACACTGAGACACACACTGAGCCACACACTGGTCTATCTCTCTCGTTGTATATGCTGGTCATGAAGTGCTTGTGCCTTATCCTTCAACACTGACAGCTCTTCTTGTATTACGTCTGTCAGTCGTTTGCGTATCTCTCGCTGAAAAGAAGCAAACCAGATGTTCAAAACTGCATCTGTATTGTTAGTTAATATCTGGAGCCCACTTCCTGGGTAGGATGCTGACGTGAATTCAATCGGTATATCCAGACTCAGACTACAACCCTGGCAGTAAGATGTGTTTGTCTGATGTCTACACATCACTCTTTGTCTGAAAATAAACTAATCATTCTGCAGCCTGTAAATAAACATGTCTGGACCAGACAATCCAGTGATTGATACTGTGAGTAAGGACCCACACCCTTATGACACACCATCAACAAAGTCAACCAAGTCGATGCTCATGCTGTAGATCACTAGATTGTCCGGTCCAGATTCGATTATTTACAGACCGCCGCCACATAGCGGGAATGATGCTGAGTGTGGCATTAAACAACAACCGTCTGACCACCCAAACCATTTGGTTGCCTCTTAAGACCAGCATAAGTTGCTTGGCATCACTTCTAACCCTGAACCCCACAGTGCCCTGACAGTACGACATGGAGCAACAGGAAATATAGCCCTTAACCTGGTATCAACCAAAGAGAACCTTTCTTCCTCATGATTTCAGTGGAGTAACGCTCGGTACACATGGCCCTCTTAGTTCCATGAACCAGATGGACAGAAACAGATAAGTTTCGAAACATATTCACTGGTTTACATCACCCCAAGAGTGCAGTGTTATCACATTTATATCTTGTAACCAGTCAAGTGTTGATGTAAGTATATGTCTGGCTACACTGGAACAACATCAACCTTGTGACCAGCCGATCATCAAGGGACATTAATTGGCCATAAGTGAGTCATCATTAGTGAAACTTCCATAGACTTACATGTTAATTAACTCTTGCAAGAATAATTTTCATAAAATGAGTAGAAATAATTTTATTTTGATATTTTGCAAACATCTTGGAAATCATCTTCAGCTACGTGTACATAATTGTCTGTCATCTTTCTGTTGATTAGTTATCGACTGACACCTGATTAAGCACCATATATATGTACAACTTTTAATCTATCCCATAAACAGCCATGATAAACCTGATTGGTATGTCTTATATATGTTGTTTAAACAGTTGCAGTTTTCTAAATAATCTTCGGAAAATTTAATGGAAATTATGTGTATGTAGCTGAGATGATTTCCCAGCTGGTAGATAAGTATTGAAAGCAATTCGACCGGAACTAAATTTATGAAACTTATTTTTGCAAAGCAAGAATGTTAATTAACATGATGATGTCTATGGCCAACTACTGTAATTTGATAGAACCGAGGCACTGGTACAAACCTTGCTAATAACCATTAAGTATAAAACTTAGACATCCTCATAAATAATGTATGGTAAGGTAAAGGCAAACTTCACAGTAAATAATGTATGGAAGGTAAAGGAAACTTCACAGTAAAAACCGAAGCCAATCTTTATCTTCAATGCAATACTTACAGGCGTTTTTCTTAGTTCACGGAGTCTGTCCAACTCTTCTTGAAAGTCAATGGGTTTACCAATAAGAACTGTGACTTTCTGAAAAGCAAATCCGAGCAAATCAAGTGACTGAAAATGAACCTGAATAGGAGTGAAAATCAACTACTGTATGGATGTCGACGTTCAGTCGAGATGAACTGAGTTATCTTCCCTGGACCAATATGCAATATGCATGTTTGTCCACAACATTATCTCACTTCAACCAGTAATTGCTTTCCTTTATTGCTTTTATTTAATCTAACCATTTGACCAGGAAACAATACTAAGAAACTAAAAGAGCCCAAAGGTAGGTCACAGTACAAGCTCTGTCAACATGTTCAGATAGTTCTCTAGACCTGCCTCACAGTACAAGCTCTGTCAACATGTTCAGATAGTTCTCTAGACCTGCCTCACAGTACAAGCTCTATCAACACATGTTCAGATAGTTCTCTAGACCTGCCTCACAGTACAAGCTCTATCAACATGTTCAGATAGTTCTCTAGACCTGCCTCACAGTACAAGCTCTATCAACACATGTTCAGATAGTTCTCTAGACCTGCCTCACAGTACAAGCTCTATCAACACATGTTCAGATAGTTCTCTAGACCTGCCTCACAGTACAAGCTCTATCAACACATGTTCAGATAGTTCTCTAGACCTGCCTCACAGTACAAGCTCTATCAACATGTTCAGATAGTTCTCTAGACCTGCCTCACAGTACAAGCTCTATCAACACATGTTCAGATAGTTCTCTAGACCTGCCTCACAGTACAAGCTCTATCAACATGTTCAGATAGTTCTCTAGACCTGCCTCACAGTACAAGCTCTATCAACAGACCTGCCTCACAGTACAAGCTGTTCAGATAGTTCTCTAGACCTGCCTCTCACAGTACAAGCTCTATCAACATGTTCAGATAGTTCTCTAGACCTGCCTCACAGTACAAGCTCTGTTCAGATAGTTCTCTAGACCTGCCTCACAGTACAAGCTCTATCCAACATGCTCTAGACCTGCTCACAGTACAAGCTCTATCAACATGTTCAGATAGTTCTCTAGACCTGCCTCACAGTACAAGCTCTACAAGCTCTATCAAAGCTCTATCATGTTCAGATAGTTCTCTAGACCTGCCTCACAGTACAAGCTCTATCAACATGTGTTCAGATAGTTCTCTAGACCTGCCTCACAGTACAAGCTCTATCAACATGTTCAGATAGTTCTCTAGACCTGCCTCACAGTACAAGCTCTATCAACACAGATGTTCTAGACCTGCCTCACAGTACATAGTTCTCATGTTCAGATAGTTCTCTAGACCTGCCTCACAGTACAAGCTCTATCAAGATAGTTCTAGTTCTAGATAGTTCTCTAGACCTGCTGCCTCACAGTACAAGCTCTATCAACATGTTCAGATAGTTCTCTAGACCTGCCTCACACAGTACAAGCTCTACAACAAGCATGTTCAGATAGTTCTCTAGACCTGCCCAGATAGTTCTCTAGACAACAGTACAAGCTCTCACAGTTCAGATAGCTCTAGACCTGCCTCACACACAAGCTCTATCAACACATGTTCAGATAGTTCTCTAGACCTGCCTCAGTACAAGCTCTATCAGTACTCAACATGTTCAGATAGTTCTCTGGACCTGCCTCCTCTAAGCATCACATGTTCAGATAGTTCTCTAGACCTGCCTGTTCAGTACAAGCTCTATCAACACATGTTCAGATGTTCAGATAGTTCTCAACACATGTTCAGATAGTTCTCTAGACCTGCCTCACAGTACAAGCTCTATCAACATGTTCAGATGTTCAGATAGTTCTCTAGACCTGCCTCACAGTACAAGCTCTATCAACACATGTTCAGATAGTTCTCTAGACCTGCCTCACAGTACAAGCTCTATCAACACATGTTCAGATAGTTCTCTAGACCTGCCTCACAGTACAAGCTCTATCAACACATGTTCAGATAGTTCTCTAGACCTGCCTCACAGTACAAGCTCTATCAACACATGTTCAGATAGTTCTCTAGACCTGCCTCACAGTACAAGCTCCTTCCTCCTGCCTCACAGTACAAGCTCTATCAACACATGTTCAGATAGTTCTCTAGACCTGCCTCATTTAGAGCTATCCACAAACACCACGCTGACACATCACAATTTAACCAAATTCACCCACTCACTCACTCATCCACCCACCCACTCACTCACTCAAATCCCACTCACTCATCCACCCACCCACACACTCACTCACTCACTCAAATCCCACTCACTCATTCATAAAAACCACCCACAACCCACCCACTCACTCACCCACCCACCCACCCACCCACTCACTCACTCACTCACTCACTCACTCAAATCCCACTCACTCATCCACCCATCCACCCACCTACCTACCCACTGACATAAATATCAATAAACTGACAGGTATATCATCACATCATCACTATTACTTAGCCTCATCACTTCGTACACTATGAATGTGTGTGTGAAACACAACAGATTGGAGTGACGGAGTGAGAAGGGTTTAATGTGACCTTGAACAGCATGTCGTGGCATCTTGGCTTTATGTGTGAGGAAAGTCTCAAGTGATTCACAGGTATGCTGCTGCTGCAAAACTAAACCCATGTTAAGGGCAGGCGTGATTCGAACCTATAATCATACATTAAATGACCACTGGGCTGACCCTAGAAAATGACCTAGTATTGAATTGAATAATGATTGTAGACCCAACTTACCTTCTTGATGAGTGGAATATAGGGTTTCTTGTTGGGCAGCACATCATCCATACCTGCAACAGATGGAACTGTAGACCTGTCTCCACAAGAAATGAAATGGCTCTTAAATTGTTTCTACTGTAGACAGCAATATTTCAGTGTAGTCTGCAATATTCAAGCTGTATCACTACTGTTCATGTTTAGAGCAATACAAAATGATTTCACTCTGGGATGTGAGTGAGCGACTGAGTTTAGTTTTACACCGCACTCAGCAATATTCCAACTGTATGGCGGCAGTTTGTAAATAATCAAGTCTGGACTAGACAATCCAGGGATCAACAGCATGAACATCGATCTACGCAATTAAGATACAATGACATGCGTCAACCCAGTCAACGAGCCTGACCACCCGATCCCATTAGTCACCTCTTAATACGACAAGCATGAGTTACTGAAGATCAATTCTAACCTGGATCTTCAAGGGTACTCTGGGATGTGTTATGAATCATACATCATGTATTATGAATCTGACAAGGATACCAAATCTCAGGGAACCGATCAGCTGATCCTTCAGTTTCCTTCTTACAAGCATCGGGAGCAGGGGACCTATTCTTCCCCAGCATCCCCACAGGGACAATGTCATGAGCAAAACACAATTGTACCGGTGGCAACTCACCAAAATGGAACATGGGTAGGACTATTGGTGTGATGTTACTCTCGCTGATGAGACGTCCAACACCTACAACACACAGGGCAGACTGATATACTTATATACCTACAAAATACTCTTCCCCCAAAATACAAGATGGCAAGATAACCTCACACTTTACCGTGGTTTTAAGGAACTATTCAACAAGATCAGCATATTTCAATACTCAGTTATTTTTCACAATGACAATTTCTTGGAGACAATGTATGTCCACAAGCATATAACAATAGAACAATTTAACTGACAAATACCTCCATAGATTATAACATATATTCAGGATGAAATGGTGATTATGATGAAAATGATTGTTAAAGTATAAACACAGGTGATTATGTATTTGAGCTTAATGTTTACACTGCAAAATGAAAACTACAGCAAAATAAAGAAATTGTTTCAAAGACGGAATTTGGAAGAACAATCAAAGGCTCATAGAATATATTGGACAAACAATATTTGGCTGCATACTCCTGTGTATTTTTCATGGTTCATTTCATGACAAATACTTGTGTTGGCCACAAGTGACACTTTGATAGAGTCGTGAACCAAGTGACTGAAGATGCACTTACCCCACTTCAGTCTCATATGTTGATGGGTTTCATTAACTTTACCTGTCAAAATTAAACACAATACAACTTAATAAACAAAATAACATTAGAAAATGATGTCTACCTTCAGTTTTTGTTAAAAAGTACTGTGCATCATGTACATTGTTGTGTTGTCTGATCTGCTGAAACAAAACAAATTACATCTGACAAGTTCCTATCAATATATCATCTCATTCCCAGAACTTTCACTGTCCACAATGCAAAATTGCAAGAAGAAAGAAAGAAAAGGATTAAGTCCAGGGGATTATTTAGAAGTTGTAGCGATACAATGAATTGACAATGTCTAATTATAGGTATGACTTGGTAGACATGCTTCTATGCCATGATGATGATAAACCATCTCAGTAACAATTCATACATGTGCTTGGTTTGTATTACAAGGGGGTGGGGGCGTGTAAGAGTTCCTTACGTACCCCCCACCTAAATTTTAACAATAAACCATAGACTAAACTATAGTGTTTGCTCATCACAAAAATAGGCAGGGGGTATGTAAGGAACTCTTTCCCAAGGGGGTTGGAACAGTGAAACAAATGCATGTGCGGCATGTTGAGCTTTAACTTAGACCAAACCTTGTTCTCAGTGTTTCATTTAATGTGCATTCCCCACTGGTAATACAAAGCAATAAAAGCGATTTGAATCTATGATCGTTTGTTAAACAACTTTTATCCAAGTTGAATAAAATTCTGAGAGTTAAATGTTCAATTGGCAAGATAAAGTTATGAGAATTCGCAATCTTAATTTCACTTTATTGATTTACTTTTTTGTTTAAAGTGCTATTCATTGGTACGTTTTCACTACAAACAGACTATAGTCTAGGTGATACACTATAAACACCCAATTATCATTACAGTTATGACAAGCATACGTTATAGGTACACATGCTGCCCTAGAACCTTAGCAGGATGACATCCATCTACACAAACAATCCATTACATCCGGAGACAAAGCACTGACTGACTGCCACCCACCTTCAGGGAACATGTGCACCCACTCTCCAAGACGCAACTTTTCCAGCATGTAGTCGACACTGCGCTGATACACCCCAGCGCCCCTAACTACTGGTACAGTCTTTCCCAGACAGAAGAACAATGCATGCCAGTATTTAGTGAAGCACACATCTTCAGCTGCTAATGTCCAGCGCAATGAATTTTGGTCCATCACATACCGAATTTTCAGCATTCCTAAAACAGAATATTTGTTGGCATAGGGGGTGCTAAGAGTGGACATAGTTGAATAAATGTTAAGTGGACATGGTGGAATAGTTGTTAAGTGGACACAGTGGAATAGTTGTTAAGTGGACACGGTGGAATAGTTGTTAAGTGGACATGGTGGAATAGTTGTTAAGTGGACACGGTGGAATAGTTGTTAAGTGGACATGGTGGAATACAGTAGAACACGGATATAACGAACTCCAAGGGACCAAGAAATTTAGTTCGCTATATCCGTTGTTCGTTATTCACATTTGACCGCCATCTTGGATTGTAGAGATGTAGACATTCACAGACATTACCTATATCATGTTGATAAATATGAAGTTTATTTTTATAATAAAATTGAAATAATACAACTACAACTTAAATAAATTTTATTTTTTAATGAAAATGCAAGCTTACACTTATAATGTCCAGATAGACGAAGGAAGAAGGGAAAACTGTAGCGGTTTTTTTTCCATTTGTGACATGTCATAACATGCCCGTGCCTTTTTCTTTTATATTTTCATTTTTATGTAATCAGGCTTTCCGTTCGTTAACATGACACAACAACGGGAAATACCTCCGTTTTCGAAGCTTCGTATGAATAACATGCGAGGCGAATCATGTGGTGTCTGGTATCGTTCAACAGCTCTGGAACATCAACAATATCACTGTACCCTTGCCGAGAGTATTTTCACAGTTGTAAAAAGTGATTTTATTGGATAAAGATTGGTTTCTAATGGCTTTTTAAGCCACAGTCTGCTATAAGGATCGTGATTGGTCAAAATCAGACCGTGACCTAAGGCAGCCAATCATACTCTGGCAATGGATACCGTCCTCGTCAAGCGAAAACTTTCGTTTTTCATAGCGTTATGGCCGATTATTTGGCCTCGCGGTGTTGAATGGGTTAAACACGATATGTTTGTTTTGTTAATTAATTAATGACCATCAAACAATGCTGATTCACCGCCAACAAGATTGATGTATACTGTACCGCTAAGTGGCTGAGCTGACACTGAGTGAGTTCGCTAATCACGTCGTTAATTGGGTCTTGGGGTAGTAAATCAGTTAAGCTATAGCCGTTAATTAAGCTACTCCGCGAGTTAAGTTATTCACGTATAATTTTAATGATACTATAAAGGACTGTTGACGGGACTTTTAAATTTGTTCGCTATATCTGTTTGTACGCTATATCCGTGTTCGCTATAACCATGTTCTACTGTAGTTGTTAAGTGGACATGGTGGAATAGTTGTTAAGTGGACATGGTGGAATAGTTGTTAAGTGGACATGGTGGTATAGTTGTTAAGTGGACATGGTGGAATAGTTGTTAAGTGGACATGGTGGAATAGTTGTTAAGTGGACACGGTGGAATAGTTGTTAAGTGGACATAGCATTATGGATCGTAAGTGGACACTGTGATATGGATGATAAGTGATCACAGTGCTTTTGTTGACAAGTAGCCACAGTGGTACGGGTGATACAGTTATCCCTCAGATATATCATATTGTCTAATTTTACCATTAGAATTTACCATTAAACTGCCGTCGTTATTGTTAGAATTTGCGTAACATTTATTCTAAAAAAACTTCTTCTGATGTAGTAGTTTAATGATGGCAAGGGAGGTAACTTTGCAAGTATTCCATATGGTGGACATGGGATTCAACAAATATATTTAGATATAACTCCCCTGTTCCTTCACTCCATTGAACAAGACTGACTGACTGACTGAGTTTGGTTTTACGCCGCTTTTAGCAATATTCCAGCAACATCACCGCGGGGGACACCATAAATGGGCTTCACACATTGTACCCATGTGGGGTATCAAACCCGGGTCTTCGGCGTGACGAGCCAACGCTTTAACCATTAGGCTACCCCACCGCCCCATTGAACCAGAAGCTGGCAGGGTAATGGAGGCGAAGAACAATTTGATATGCTACAATTGGTGCTTAAAATGTTGAATTAAATATATTTTTAACATATGTATTTATCAAATATGAGGTTGGAAATCTGTCAGCACAATCCTGTGAGGAAATGGGTGTCAACCTTTGATGGTGGTGATATTTTATTTTGCCATTAAAAATATTTTTCGAACTGAAGCGAGGGAAGAATATTGAAACCTTTGCTCGGTTTGCTTGCACATAGAAAGACTGGTCATTTTTCTCTCTGTTGAGCAACCATATTTGCGCTACAGTTTGCCTGTGGTTATGACAAAGTTTTGACTGGGCACAATACACGAAATAGCAGTTATGGTATGCACAAGGAAAATATTACTTTACTTGGCCTTTATTCCATGTTATGTATAACGCTGCTGTCTCAGCCGCATTATGGTGAGGGATAAATGTATCTGGAAAGAGTCTCTGGTGAAACTCACCCCAAAGAATAGGGTCATCCAGACAGCTGTGGTGGTTAGTAACTGTAACTAGGCCTTGGTCCTTTGGACGCTTCTCTATCGCATCATACAACTGTGACCTGTTGTGCACCTTGAGTGTATTTAACCATTCTGTAAAAACACAATGACACAAAGTAAGAACAAAAAAACAAGTAAGTATGACTGTCTAATTCAGATCCTCTCAGTCAACAAGCTTAGTCCCAATAAGCAAATGTTAGCTTGTCATTAATCTCACAACACTGTAAAAATTTATAATAGTGATGAAGTATGATTCTTTTGTGTTAAATGTACATATATATTCAAATGGCAAAAAAGCATACAAAAACAAAAGAATGAATGGAACTAATATATGTCCTGAACAATATAATACAACTTGAATTATATAAATACTTTGTCTTGTTCTCTTTTATGGTTTTTATATTTATTATTTGGTTTGCCGTGTGAGATTATTTCAGTAGTGTTCCACAACACGGGGGCTCGTTTAATGTGCTGGCATGTCACTGTACGAATAATAATGGGGGCAGCTAGTAATGCCGAGCTGTCGTGACAAGCAGAACAGGTTCAAAGTCCACACGTGTTTGAAGCAAGCAACAGGACTTAATGGAGTCGTACCCAACCAGAATTTGCTGAAAGTGCCAACCATCGCGACTGTAAATCTGCTGGAAATATTCCAAGTAAAATTGGGGTTTCTTGGAAACAGCCAACTGTTTCCAAGGGGCATCGTTATGTACTTTGCTAAACTTGAAAGAAATGTGTGTCTACGAAAACATTAACAACCGGAAACGGGACTTTTCTTCACTTCTGGATACGCAAGAGTTGCTAAGGGAGTTAACTCAAAGCTTGTAGTAATTCGGAACATGCCGAATGGATACTTTCTTGCAGGTTACGGAAAAATGCGAGTGATGACGAATGCTCTCAGAAAGTCCCAATCATCAAAATGTAACTGAGTGTGATGTTATACGCCGTTGTCATTGATATTCCAGCGACTTTTTGGCGGCTTCACACATTGAGGTCGCGATTTACACTGTGCGTTTTATAGTCTAAAGTATTACGTGTAGATTATATCCCCCTAGCTCCCCAGAACAAAAATGGGTGTGACCCCCACCCCTTAAAATCAGCATCAACCCCCGCCCACCACCACCACCACCACACACACACACACACACACCACCCTTAGCCATAAATTATAAACGGTCCCTATAGTTTGGCATGAAATGCATGTGGACCCGTTTTTTTGTAAATATCTCTTCATCCAATGACCCAATCGATCTCAAACTGTGCAAGTGGATGTTTTGTCAGACAACCTAATCACATTGTAAATCACCGATTTTATGCATTGGTATTAAAGAATCTGTCTATGTAACTTTCAACAAAATAAACAGCAGAACGCAGACTGCTGGCAGAGGGAGGGAGCCAATGACCTGTAACAGCGGCAGTGTTGGGTCATAAAGGTCAACGTTCGTCAATGTAGGTCAGCTATGCACGTGACAGTTATGAAGGGTGTCCTCCCATTTGTGAGAACTCCCAGTTGTGAGACACATTAATTAATGGTTCAGTGCACATAGGTGGTCTTTCCACATCCCTACAATGAAAGTGGGATCAGCCCAGCCCAGCACCCACAGGAGGCATAGTTCATTGATGAGTTGACTAATGAAATAGATTATGAAAGATTTTATTTACAAAGAAGAAATAGTTCATTAAATATTTTATTTATTCAGAAGAATATGCACTTATGATAACACATTTTTATTGACTATTATGAAGTTTGAAAGTAATTTTGGTTTAAACATATTTTATTATCATTTATGAAAATGAATTGGGATTGGTGAAGTATTACTGCTTACGTTAACACCGCTCCCATGCAACATCAAATACAAAATGACATGGAGGATGTGACGTCATCGATATTGACTGTTGCATAAATATATTTTAACTACATATAAATATATACAGATTACATCAAATACAACTATTCTCTAAGTAGTCATAATTAGAGAGTTACAGTTGTGTGTGTCTAACAAGCTATTGTAGGAATATAAATCAATCATGAGAAGGTTGTTGAGTTAATTTAAGTATTTTCCTGAGAAAATTTGAAGCGTTGTGTCTTGATGATGTAAAAGTGGACGAATTCAATTATTTTCTGTTGGTTTACACAAGAAGTAAATTCTTGTTTCCGTTCAAAATGGTACCCAGGTTATAACGGATAGTGTAAAATACATATTAATTCTTATCAAGTGAGGAAATAGTGTAGGGCGTTTTCACTCTGATGTCCACAAGAACAACATGGGCTGTCTATTAAATGACTGTTAGGCGGCAGTGGACGATTTGACAAAAACAAGATGCATAATTAAGGTCAATATAAATCTTGTTTTCGGTTTTTGTAATTTAGTTTTTAAATTCTGTGAGACTACATGACTCTTGGTAGGGCATTCCATAAATTTATTGTGTCGGGTAAAAAGGATTTGGCATAAGAGGCAGTTCGACTGTAAATTCCTTGTATTTCAGTGTTATTTCTTAAACTATAGCTTGTAGTTTCGGAGACGGAGTAAACCTGAGTAGGTAAATTCATTTCTCTTTCAAATGATCATGAAGTTACCTACACAAAGTGTTTAATTTTTAAGGACATTTACCTGAGTATGTTAATCAATTTATCTTATAAAGTTTCATTAAGTTACCTCCAAAATAATCAGTTACATAGCAAATCAGTAATTAGCTAGGGTTAATCCATTCTATCAGGCAGGGGAGTATGGTGTGTTTTCTTTGTGAATTGCCTACTCCAATGTCTCATAACTGGGAGTCTCACAATTGGGAGTTCTCACAAATGGGAGTAGACCGTATGAAGAGGTGTCACAGGTCGTGAATAGGGTAAGGTGGGTGCCAACTGTTAACCATCATACGGAGTTTGTTTCTCTGAGTTGTTCAACATTAACCACACAACCCATTAGTGAGAATTATTCTGTAGGTTAAAATCTTTAAATTTGTAATGTTAATGTCATATTTTGTGTATGCATTTAAAGAACACAGAAAGTATATTTACACTAAATCATTAATCGGACCACCTATGGTTAAAACTCAACAACTGTTAAAGCCCCGTTCCCTCGGACACAAGCACACACAATCATGCACACTCATTGAAGAAAAGATAGAATGAAGACAAAAAGTGTTATGTTTTGATGTCGTTCACATTCCAAATTAAGCAATGCATTTCTAATAGCTTTAAGCATATAGATAGTTAATATATATATTTTCATGATAATTTTATGTGAAATGAGTGTTTCATGTTACACTATAAATCGTTGGAATTAGTCAGTGCTGTCATTGTTAAAAAGAAGTTATATTTCTTTGAGCATATCTGTCTGGATACTATTATTATCTGTAAATATAATCACAGTATTAAACTTCATCAAGTTCACTCCATTCTTCCACAGAGGAGTCATCAGTGTCCAGACGAATGACATCTGGATTAACTGTTTGCTCCTTCAAGTCATCTTTGAGCCAGTATTATTTCTCCACCTTCTTGACGTGTTCAACAAATGCATGCCAGCGTGCAATGTCGATGTCACATATAGCATATTGATTTTTCCGGGCCACTGTACTTTTGAGGTCTCCCCAGATAAGTTCGATTGGGTTGAGATCACAGTGGTACGGTGGTAATCTCAAGACCTTATGGCCGTGTTGGCGTAGCATGTTGACAATGTTATATGTGGGTGGAGGTTTGTTAGGTTTAATCAAAGAGTACAACTGTGGTTTAGTGGCCTTAATTGAAAATTGTATATTGTTATTTGTTAGCCATTGCTGCATATCTGACTTCTTTGTATTGGAAGTTCGGCACCTATTGTTTGGATCTCGAACACTGTGATAGGGAGCATTGTCCATGACAACAAGACTTTTGTAAGGCAGAGCTGGCAACAATTGTTCTTCAACATACTGTGTGAAAACCGTTGAGTTCATTTCTGTATGATAGTCCCTACCACCTGTGCTCTTTGACCGAAATACCAGATCACACCCAGGTAGGAATCCACGGCGGGAACCAGCATGAAGAACGATTAAACGTTTACCTTTGCCTGTTGGTATTTTCCTACCATCACTGGGATCAGTGGGTAGTCACTGTCTGGCAGCAGTATGGTTTGCATTGACCCAGGTCTCATCCAGATATATGGGTTCGAACCCATCTTCTCTTGCCTGCTTAATTTCTCTCAGATAGTTACACCTTATTTTCACAATATCAGATCTCTCACACATTACAAGTTTCTGGTTTGCTACCTTCTTGTACTTGTATCCAAATTTGAGCAGTAGTTTGCTTAGCATAAACCTAGAAACATTAATGTCGTGATCCTCTGCAAGGATGTGTTTTAACTTTCTTGTGTACAGGTGTTCATTTCTAGCAAATAGCCGGCGAATGACATCTCTGATGACCCTGATGTCAAAAGAATCTAACTTTGGATGCCTACCTTTTTGTACAAGGTTTTGTTTATTGGTTGTTGGTTTATTTTTCACAATTTTAACACATTTCTAATTAAACGTTTAGCATCATCTGAATAAGCTTTCATGATGACAGCTAGAAGTAGTCAATGTGAATGATCCAAACAGTCTATCACTGTGCAGTGCACAGGTAACTATCATGAACTGCACGTGCATTTACCTTTATGACCCAACACTGCCGCTGTTACAGGTCATTGGCTCCCTCCCTCTGCCAGCAGTCTGCGTTCTGCTGTTTATTTTGTTGACAGTAACATAGACAGATTCTTTAATACCAATGCATAAAATCGGTGATTTACAATGTGATTAGGTTGTCTGACAAAACATCCACTTGTACAGTTTGAGATCGATTGGGTCATTGGATGAAGAGATATTTACAAAAAACCGGGTCCACATGCATTTCATGCCAAACTATAGTGCATGGTTTGTTTCCGAAATCAACTGCTGAGACATGAGAATAATATGAAATGTTTTTTTAAAGACCTGTTCGTATACAAATACAAGTAAAATATGGTCTATGTTTTAAGAGGATCTTCACATTCGGTGTTTAATTTGTAAATAATCCCCTTTTCCACAGTATTTGCTTCCTTTGAATCAATGCCGTTTTACGACTATTCACTGCTGCACTGAATTTAGTTTCGATACAGGTGCATTTGAAAAATAATTACATGATAATTGATGTCAATATATTTTCCACGATAAGGAACCTACCTTCAGATCAGATGTACAGATCAGTTATCTGTATGATATTTATTAACACTCCATTATTATTGGAACAATCTTTTCAAAATGTATAATCATATCTGTATTCCATTTCTCACTGTATTTTACTGAACCTAATCAAATAATTAAGCAATAGAGTAAGTGCAATTACAATGCGTCAAATTCCGTTTACCATGTCAGCACTCAAAGCGAGAAACCGCGATTACCCCGTCACAGAAAAAAAGTGTGCAACCGATGTTCACTCTAAGCAGGGAGACTATATATGTTGTAGAGTATCCCTGCTCTAAGCGAAGGAGGGAGGGTTAAACTCATGGTTCCCTTGAGGTTTTGTATACCTGACCTGAATCAGTAACGTAACAGGAAATCAACTGTCGTGAAACATTATATTTATGCCTGCAGATGTGAGTGAGCGTGTGAGTGTGAGTGTATGCATGTGTGGAGTTGGATGTGTGTTCTCGGTTGCGCAAAAAACGTGTCAGCAAATGTTGTTTTGTGAAGCCACGACACACCAAACTGATGCTCAACGGAAGGTTATTGAATGATTGCAAAGAGAAGAATTCCACAACACTCACAACAACCCGAGTGGGCTATATCATTTCCCAACCGGTCACA